TGAACTTAAGAAAATTTTGGTCCAAAATTGTGACAATTGCCGTGGGTTCTTCATGCTTAAGGAAGAAGTTCTTCCACCAATAGAATGAAGCAACTTGTCAAACAAATAAGGTCCTTAGTCATCATAAGTTAAGGGGAGAATTAAGCAAGTGGCACTAGCCTAAGAAGGCCACGCCAAGCCTACCTCACCAACCTTCCCTTCGGCCATGTATATAAATGAATGTTTGGATCGAAAAATTTTCCCCAAAAACTCCTATAAGCAATCACCACACCTTCAGCATCTATTAAGCACTACTTCAGCCTTCATAAGTTAATCAATTCTCCCAAGTTCCATAGCTAACGCACGGCCAATTGAGGAACCATCGCACGGAGTCTTTGCGAGAGGAAGTCACGCCTAATTCCCGAGTTCCGTCGAGCAATTCCAGAGGTAATCTTCTCATCCTCTGGTAGTACAGTTAATAAGGTTAATTTATAGTTAAGTGTTCGGATAAATTGCAAGAATTTTGAGTAAAATCACACTTAAATCCGAACATGTCTAAGTAAGATTATCGCCGAACAATCTTCATTTTCTTCCGGAAACTCTCGAGTTATAAGCTTTTAAATGATCAGTTTGGGTTATTGCTAGTTCAGCATGATAAGTTTTGTCGAAGCAAGTGAAGAAAAGTCGATGACAAGGCCCCAGCCGATGCCCCGCGCCTATCGCGCATAGCATCGAGTGGTTTCGGGCCGAGGCTGTCACCTTCACTTCTAAGTGTGTCTATTCGTGTGAATAGTCTTTAAATAGTTTCAGTTTAATATTCATGCTGAGGTGTTCGATAGTTGTCGGATGATATGTTGATTCGGTCGAGAGACGGCACGTAGCCGTCGGCGGGCACGGGCGTCCGTCACGGCCAATTTTGTGTTCAGTATGCATAATCAGAGTCTAAGTGATAAATTCGGTTATATTAAGTGCAGATAAAGTAAGTCAGTTAAGGTACTTGGTGAGATAGGAAGTAACCGAGGGCCGTAGGCCGCACCTCGCACGTAGCGAGGGCGTGCGGAGGCATGCCATGGCCGTGGGTACGGCTTAACAAGTGAGTTCAGTAGATCCTGTTTAAAATCAGTTTAAAGAGCATGTTAGGTCATAACATGTTAATTGAAGTCAGTTCGGTCGAGTAGAATTGCCGGACGGTCGGCACGGAGC